GTTTAGATTTAGAACACTGTATTCATTCACAGTAGTAGCATTTTTTTCCAGTAATATTGCTTTCAAGGTGAAATAATAGTTTGCTAGAATTTTAATGCTTTTTGCTTTACCTGTTGTATGTACTGCTCTTAATAAAAAGCACGATGTTGCTTACCCTCAAGGTTGCACTTGAACAGCCTGCTTATTAATAAACTAGCAAAATGTGCTGTACTTTGCAGCTAAATGGAATTGTACTGTTTGTACTGAATCATTTGATGCCTTTAATAAGCAAAAGAAAACAAATTATAGTCTTACATGCAGTGCTTTAAGAGCTCAGTAGTGACCTTCAGTTAGCTTGTTTTGAATTAAGAGAAATGTTTATTGCAGGTATTTTGAAAGATTTGAGAAAACTTTTCCTTAAAACATTATCACCTTCTACTCTTTCCCCCTTTGTTATGTATAGGTTTCCCAGGCAGCTGCAGATTTGAAACAATTCTGTCTGCAGAATGCTCAACATGACCCCCTGCTGACTGGAGTATCTTCAAGTACCAACCCCTTCAGACCCCAGAAAGTCTGTTCCTTTTTGTAGTGAAATGAATCTTTGAAGGTAAGTAAAACAACAAAACCCACACAGAGCAGGAATAACTAGTTGTCTTTTTCTTTGCCGTTGTGCACTCTTGTTTGGCACTGCAAGTTTCCCGTCTTGTTTTGTGAGAATTGACAAAATTTACTGTTTTAGTAGTCATAAAGACTAATTGTTTCTATTTTATTATAAAGAGGGTTAAATAGATGATTTAATAAAGAGTATAGAAGAATAACTAGGAAATTACACTGCTGTAAGAAGTGACAGTTCTTACAGCATAGCCTAATGGTGTATTTTGAGGCTCCTAGATACTAATTTTTGTGTATGTAACAAATAGTTTTTAAAAATTTGCACTGTTTATGGTGATTAATAGAATTAAACTGTAGGGCAGCATAGCAAAGAATGGGGATTTGTGAATGCAAAGTGTGACAGTTCAATATGCTGATTTCTAAATTGTAATGTGTGCCTTCCAGATCAAATGTCAGTGTGTGCAAAAACATATTAGTCCAAAACAGATGTGACCAACACATGCTCCAGATAATTTAAGAGTGTTTTTAATAAACCTTCGTAGTCAGCCTGTGTGCTCACTAGTATTGACCTATGAGAAGCAACCTTAAACTAATAGTGCTTTTAAAAAAAAAAAAGGTATGGTACACACCCTTTACAAACATTCTAACTCCTCAAAGTCCAGGAAGCTGCTTCCTAAAATACCATGTTACATAGTTGTGCCCTCCCTAATTACTCTTTGTAGACTTGGGAGTGTCCAGGAAGCTTCTGTAAGTGCAACCTGTTTCCAGTAAATGCAATGATTGGTTAAGTAGGCTGATTTTTGAAACAGCAAGGGGGTTGCAGGGGGGCACCTTTGAATAACAGGTTTCCATACAAAAGTAATTCTTTTTAAGTCTATCTCCTATTTAATAGTTCCTTGCTTCTGGCAGTATTAATTGTTCATAGCAGTTTTTGGAAATTGCGTATTTTTATGGTATATGAAGATCTTTTTGAAACTTCTGTTTCAGTTCTATTCACTTTACAAAATGGCTTATTTTCATTTGATAAAAAGTACTGCTAAGAAGCCTGGCTCTTAACTGGCTGTTAAGTCTATATTTCACAGCAGTCTACAGGTAAGTGTTTAAATATGGCTGGGATAATAACCCAGGCTTCAAAGTAATATAGTGGTTATTAATCTTGGCAGTATTTGTGGCTATAAGGATTTGAGACATTTTTTGCCAGTTAAAAAATATTCTGATGTGAAAGCATTTCTTCTCCAATTTGATGTATCTACAAATCACTTTGTTAAAATGCAAATTCTAAATCTGGAGTGAGGCCCTAAATCAACATTTTCTACAAGCTCCCAGGTTATGCTAGTGCTGGTGGTCCTAGACCCACAATGAGTGGTAGTAGCATGGGTACAAAGAATCTACAGGTGAATCTACACTCATAACTTTTAAAAATATATGATTTTTATAATTAAAAAGCAAAACAAAACCCCAGCACAGGTAATTTATCAATAACTAGTATAAGGAAAATGACAAATTACCATGATCAATATTCCTAGAAATAACCATGGTTAGCAGGTATTTCCATTGAAGAGAAAAAAATTTAAAAAAAGAGGATTGCCCTAGCTGGGTGGTTCAGTTGGTTGGAGCACCATCCTGTACACTTATAGGTTGAAGATTTGATCCCCTGCCAGGGTCAGGGTGCATACAAGAGGCAACTGATTGATGTTTCTCTCTTTTTCTCCCTTCTTCTCCCTCTGAAATCAGTAAACATATCCTTGGGTGAGGATTTTTTAAAAAACGAGGATTATAGTATGTAGGTTTTCATTCTGCTTTTAAAAACACGTATTTTCTTATTTCATTTAATATTATTTGTAAATGAGATGTTTGGTGGTTATATTGTAACTTAATTAAACTTTACTGAATATTGAAGTTTCCAAATTTGAGGCTACACTAAAAGGGATGTTTTGACATTTAAATTTTATTAACGCTAGTCTTATGAAATTTTGGTATTCCACCAGGATCTTGATGCTGGTCCCTTGCCAGCCTATTTGCTACTATTTTTCTGCCCCCCCCACCTTTCTTTCTTGGGTTGGCCAAAAACATCTGTATGGATTTTTCTATAAAATAAAAGATATTTTTCATTTTTACCAATAACTTTATTGATTTTGGATATTTTTAGTCTGTTGGCTGTATCCCGAGTTATATAACATTGATGGTTCTCAGTTAATGTCTTGATTTGATCACTATCTACTTCAACTGGTCTACCCAACCATGGAGCATCATCCAGCGAGAAATCTCCAGCACAGAACTTTGCAAACCACTTGTGACAGGTTTGATCAGCCACAGCACCTTCTCCATACACTGCACAAATCTTTTTTTGCATTTCAGCTGTATTTTTAACCTTTCTTGAAATAAAGCACAATATGCTGAAAATGTGTATGTTTTTTCACCTTCAATATTAAAGTGGCTACATAAAAATTCACCAGTTCTGATAAGTTTTTTTAATGCATGCTGATATGACAGCTGTCACACAATACATTGTAACAAAATTGTTTCGAATGCAGTTGAAGACAACTAAGTGCTACTAGAGCCACCTTAATGGAAAAAATCAAACGACCTTTTGGGCCAACCCAATAATTTGCACTGACTGCACACTTTTGTTATAGAATATCTCAACCTTTTAAGTATAAAGATGGACCTTGTATCTATCATCCTGAATTAAATAATTTTCCCCATCTCCCCAACCTTTGTCCTTAAGCCTAATTTTCTTTTCTTTATCCAGGATTGATTTGTTCAATAAACACACAAGATTAAACCCATCTTTAAAGAGTTTAATAAAAGATATACTTTTACTACCTTTCCACATAGGTAGCATCTTAAATTTGGTGTGCCTGTGTTTTTGCTTTTTACAACACACATTTCTTAGTTTATCTCCCACATGTAGATATTTTAATGGCTGTGTATCTTTTTATCTACTACCCTGTTGAGTTACAGTTAGGCTACTTCCAGTTCTTTGCTGTTAAACATCACTATAGTGCCTATCAGTGTACAAATCTCCCTTTGTGTATAGATTTATCTAGGTAAATAGAAGTGTGATTGCATATTCTATTTTACCGGATATTACCAGACTGTTGTCTGCAATGCTATTGCTTATTTTGTAGGGGTGTTCAGATTTTTCTCAGCATTAACAGATTTTTGTATTAACCTTTTTAAAAATTAAGATCAGAGTGTATTCTGGAAATAATCTTGGCAAGTTAATCTTTAAGTCTTTAGTTAAAAACCATAAATGATACATACTTTAGAGTGGCTTTGAAATTAAGTTACATTATAGTCATTTCCCATCCTATTTTTCACTTTTTCCTAGAAATTCTGTGATGTGTCTGCTTAAAGTACTTGATAAACTGTCATTTAGATGAATGCTGTGAAAGTAATATAAAATATACTGCTGTTAAAAAAAATCTTGCTCTTTGACACTTAACCCTGATTCACCTTTTTTTCCATTTCAGGTGTTCTAAACCACTTTTCATGAACCAGTGAATATTCGAAGAGAGCTAAATTTGAAGCTTGTACAAAAAGCTTATCCCTATAACACGTGCCACACTATACAAACTTCTGCTTTGTCAGTCCTTAACATCTACCTCTCTGAATTTTCATGAATTTCTATTTCACAAGGATGATTATTTTATATACACTGAGAGAAGCATTCAAATAAATACTTACTATAAAAGGGTTTTTGCTTAATTATTGGTAATATACGATATATTAATTTGTTTTGAACACCTAAGATAAATGGCAATTTTCCCATTGTCATTATGGGTTAAGTTATTACTGTTTGTTCCACCAACTCCTCTCACATAACTCTATGTCTGCATTTCCAAGACTGCTATAGAAGTAAAGGTAAGTTGCATACTTCTTTTAAGGGTCAGGGGAAGTTACTAATAGTACAGTTTCTATTCATGAGTTATTTATAGGGTTAACTGTTTTAATAACAAATTAATAAACTCCTTATAAGGGTATTACCATTATACATAAAAACCTAAGAACTTACAACCTAGAGTACCACAATACAACAAATGAGGTACAATGTAGTAAGAAAAAAGGACCAAAGATTGGCTTTAATAATTTGTAACTTTGCTTCAAGTCCTTGGGAAACTTTTGCTTTAAAATATTTACCTTTCTGACAGGCTTAAGGGAATGTTAAAACACTGCAGACACCTGGCCTCTTAATCATTCAGAAAATTGAGTTAAAAACTATGTGCCAGATCAAAGATTAGTCTGATATAAAACCAGTGTGTTGGTTACCTAGTAATCTACCGGGCACCATTTTTCTGACTCACATGTTCCATGAAGGTGCATAGGGGAATACTATATTGATTTTTGATTCCAACTTAATTACTCAGCTATCAAAAATTTAAGAAACCTAAATTGCAACAACTTAATCTCTTACCAAAATGACATTTATTTGTATTTCTTACAGAAACAGTAAGTGGTAGGTAATTCATGGCACTAGGTAATTTGTGCAGATTCGAAAGGTGTTATCAGCAAATGCCCTTTTGAAGTGTCTTCTGTCACAATCTCAAGATAGACCTGCTCAGCAAAATCCAATATTACTCCTTCAGTTGCTTTATAAGTGGAATTTTCTTCTACTTGTATCCATTTCCCGGGGCTGAAAGTTAAGGGGTAAAAAAAAGTTAGTAAACAATCTATGGATAACAGTGCTTAAAAATTTGGGTCTCTGAAGTATCAGTCTTTAGGTCTAATATAAAAGGTGTTGGAAGTTAACTTTTCCAATAGCTGTATGTGTAAAATATATACAAATTTAAAGTAAAAATCACATATCAGTGAAATACTGGTTACTAGATAGAAAAGAATGTTTTAAAATAATGTTTTCATTTACAATTTATTATGATCTCCAAGTGTCTACAGTTCTCAAGCACGTACTAGAATCAGGGTAACACGGGCTTATAGATTGCTGGGTCCAATTCAGTATGTCAATGGCCAAACAGTTTACCTTAACAAATTTCTAGGTGATGCTCCTGGTCCTACTTTGAGAAGCAATGATCTTTAGGATACTTCAGTTGAATGAGGATTAATCACCAGAGCCAAATACCACATCATTGAGGGAAGACATTCAGAAGCATAACTTAAGGTATAAAACCCAAAGTTTAAAAAGACATGGTTTCCTTCTCATTCCATAATTAAAATCATCTAAATGGCTTTTCAAGAGCAAGCACGTACCTTATGGACCCATTCATATTCTCCATATTTAGAATCAAAGGTTCCTTTCTGAAGAGATCTTAATTTTAAGGTAAAACGTGGTCCTAGTTCCTGAATTCCCACTTTCTTTTCACTCTTGAATATGTATCTTCAAAGGCAAAGAAAAAAGGTGAGGACATTAGTTTGTATAAACCCAGCTTCGTTTACATTATGACAGGGTTCAAAAGACCATTTCTCATTTACAATAACTGTCATAACACATTAGAAAACTGGTTTATGTTGAAAACATATTTCATGATTAAAGTCAAAGTCCAAGGAGTTGAGGTACCTCCCTCACCTGTGAAATCTGAAGAAGATATAATCCCTTTGATTGTGGAATGTGGCAACCTGCCTTCCAGTAAACTGAGGATTATGGGGGAAGAGAGATGCAAACATCCGTCCAATAGAATGACCCAGCCGTGTTGTAAAATTATTCAGAATTATTTCAGGTATGTGTTCTGTGGGGTCCTTGCCTCTTCTCTAGAAAAATGGTGAAAAATCAACGAATTAGCAAAGCTAGATCACTGCAATTTTAATTTTATAATTTAAATGACAAACATGAAAATTTATCTTAATGACAGACCACAGATGGCTAACCAAACCTGTGAATTAAGATATGTCTAAAAGTATTCTATATGCTGTGAATGCACCAACGTGTTCTAGAAGAGTAACATGTTTTATAGTGTTGAAGGCTATTGGCCTGTCTGCCATAATCAGTCTCACAAGGAAACTGTTAGTAAGTGAAACTATTGTTTTAATCAGGAGAGCAAATGCCATTATTAAAACCAATCTCTTTAGTTACAGCATTCACTTAAGCAAACATTATGAGACCAATGCCAATCCAGCAATGCCTAAAACTTACCTTTATTTCTTTACGCAGACGAACACTGCTCATTTTAAAATGAGCAGTTGGTCCATTTGGCAAGTGACTCAGAATTAATCCATCTGTTCAGAAAGCTAAGAACATACTGAACTCCAGTATAAATCTTGAATTGTTTAAATAATTGGTCCTCTATGCCCGAAGGCTCCTAAAACCTGTAGCTAGGTGAACAGGCATGGGTTCCTCTGCATTAACAGATTTTCTTACGAAACCTCAAACTCAAGACACGTAAGTCAACATACATCTTTCAGAAAAATGTATTAACCTGTTGTCCTACCGTTTCTCTTTTCACAATATGAAAAATAGCTCATCATCATTTTCAAAAGGGTATTTGAGTATTCAGCTGAAGTCCACCACTCTTAACAGAAATGAGGAGACAGGAAGGGATTCTAGAGTAATTAAGTTCACCTCCATGTAGATGTTTTATAATCCTAAAAATGCGCTTTTATGTTTATACAGACATGTTTGTAAGGTTAGGATATGCCATCAGCTTTGACTGTCATCCCACAAAACCAGAGACTCCTAAGCTCCCTTCTTGATATCAAGATTATTAGCGTGGCACTCACAATGTGGCTCCGACCTGCCTTTCTAAGCTGTCTCCCCATGGTGTTCCCTAACCAGTAGGCAGTGATACAATCTCTTATACACCATACACATTAATTTTACCACAGCTGTCTTTTTTTTTAACTCTTGCTATTTCAAATACCTGCAATAGTTTACTCATGCATTAAGTCCCACTTCAAATGCCACCTCTTTTTTACAGTCAAAATTAAGCTCTGAATCTGTTTTCACTGTTAATATAGCACTTGTCACTTATTTTGTTATAGTCATGTAAATGCCATTTTTCCCAGCTCTTAAAGGCTCTATTTTTGACAGACACCAGTGCCTACCACATAGCAGATTACCAGTAACTGTTTGAATATTTCTTTTCAAGATTCACCACAGGTTCAACTTCATGACACACAGCCAAAAGTACTACTGTGTCATCTGCACACTGAAAAATGTAATCAAATCTTACGGGGGTTAAGAGAGGTAACAGTCATTTCTTGCAACCTAAATCAAGGTTTAAATCCTTTTGAAAACATTCCTACTAAATACGGTGTGTGTCAATAAGCAAACTACAAAATCCAAATTTATTAATTCCTAAGTACCTGTACTGTACAAAAAGTTGCTGTTACTGTTAATCTCTTAACACAAACCATGTAAAATAGGGGCCCTCCCTTAAAAAACAAAGGATACTTGGGGTTTTACGATCTTCATTAATAACGATCAGATCTGTGAAATCTCTTGAGATGCACTGTGGAATAATTTTTTTCAGAGCCAGTCCTCTTCTGTAATAAACATGTGAATTTGGTATAACTGTGGAGAGCTGTTCACAGAGTCGTACTGTTCTCTGTAAAACAAAATTACAAAAATCTTCAAAAGTGAAGACATTAAAAATTTACTTACCAGCAAAGATACAATGAGTATTATAAAATGTTATTAGAGAGCAAGGTCAGGAAAAGAATGAAATCTGAACAGTGTTTCATTCTTTACCACAAGCTGATTATCCTAAAGCAGTGACTTTTATTGGTGGTGACTCTGTTCCACCAGGAGACTGTTGGCAATGTCTGAAAACATCACCATTTCTGGTGATTATGGCTGGGGATGGGGGATGGCTGCTACTGGTGCTATCTAGCAGGTAAAGGCCACAGATGCTGCTAAGCTTCCTATAATGAGCAGGACTACCCCCAAAACGAAAAATTATACAGCCCAAATGTTAACAGTGCTGAGGTTGAGAAACCCTATCCTGAAGAATCATGCTTGGTAAACCTACATTCCATCAGTGTTACATTTTATTTAGCTTATTCACAGGCATCATCTAACACAATAACTATTTAACTCTTCTGAACAGGGTTCCTTTAAGTAGTCTAAGTAATAAAAGAACATTAGGAATTCAAGAACCATACAAATTAATGTATTTATTACCCCATGAGGTCTATCTGATGTTGTAATGAGAATCTTGGGAGAAGTTTGTCTGTTGAAGTAAGAAGCAAATTCATCTGTAGCTTCATCATAAGCAACCTAAGAATACAGAAAAACAAGATAATTTTAATCAAATGCTCTCCTGCGTCAAAATTTTAAAAGTAGTTCTAGAAGGATTCAGTGACACTGACTACCTAGCTGATGGGATTTAAATAAGGCCTAGAAAGGACTTACATTAATAGCAACATGAAGAAGTTAGGTGATTTCCTCTGGAAAAAAATGTCAAAAACAGTTTCAGGGCACAAACTGAAACGTGTTTGTCCTTGAAAAATCGCTTCAGCCATAGCCAAGAATATCAGGAATCTTCCTAGAGCTATTCTCTCCCCCAACGACGTCAGTAAAAAGAACTTTTCATCAACTTTAGGTCTGATGGTAGTCAAGAACCAGAAGTCTTGACTCCAGAGGTGGTGGGGCCCAATTCAGGGTGGGAGGATGTGTGTGAAAACCCTAGCTTTGCTAGTCCACGCTTACAGATCCACTTCAGGATAGCTGTGGAAATTTAAAGAAACCATAAATTTAAAGGAGAGCTTTGGAAGTGAAAGAGCCATAGAAAGGCCGACAATGTCTTCACAGATCCCTGCCTGATGGCTTAACTATACATGGAAGATATTATACATGGGAGAAACCCGAGACTCTAGCACACATGACAGGCAACGGAGACTTGAGAACTGGCTGCAACTTTGAAACATCCCTCAACCCAGACACAGCTTAGCTGGCAGAAGCTATGTATGTCAGAGTGGTTCAAAATGTCTAAACTTCTGTCCAAATCATTGGCTGACCATTAAGCCACACAAACACAGGGGAAATCCCCACAGAGTCAGTTTAAAAATAACAAAACTGGGTACAGACAGTGCAATTGTCAGACATAAACTACATTTTAGTTCTAGGCAAATTACTAAAACAATAACAAACCCAATAACCCTTAAGAAAACAATCCAGATATTACAATACGATGTCCAGTTTTAAAGCAAAAAAAAAAAAATAAAATACAAAGAAAAAGGAAAGTACAACCACAATCGAGGAAAAAAGCAGTCAATAAAAGTTGACTCTGAGGGCACAGTGTTGAATTTGGCAAACATTTCAAGCAGCTATAATAGATATATTCAAGTAATGAATGGGAAATACGGATTTAATAGATTTGAGATGACAGAAAAGTCAATGAACTAGAAAACATTAATAAATATCCAATCTGAAATCAAACACAGAAAAAGGTGCAAGGCAGGAGAAACTTGGAGGGCAACGTTAACCATTTCAACAATGTTAGAAAGAGAGTCCAGAAAGAGGAGTGAAATGGGCAGGAAAAAAATAATCAAAGAAATAATGGATGAAAACTCCCCAAATTTGATGAAAAACTAACTTGGCTTTCCAAATTGGAGAAAATTCTGAAGAGAAAAATTAATCATGTACAGATAAATGATGCTGATTTCTCATCAGAAATAATAAAGGTCAAAATACAATGGCGTATGTTCAAAGTAATAACGGGAAAAAAGCCAACCAAGAATTCTATATTCTAAACACTGTCTTTAAAAAATGAAGGTAAAATGAACACATTTTCAGATAAAAATGGAGGTAATTAGCTTTATACCTGGGACATTTACACAATAGAATACCACTTGGCTGTAAAAGAAGAAATTTTACCTTTTTCAACAGCATGAATGGACATGGAGAGCATTATGCCAAATGAAATAAGCCAGTCAGAGAAAGATAAATACCATACAGTTTCACTCCTAAGCGGAATCTAATGAACAAACAATAAGCAAAATACAGACAGACTCAGAGAGAGCAGGATGACAACTATGGAGGGTGGGGCTTGGGGGTAGACGGATTGAGCAAAAAGGAAAAAGGACTCAGGGATATGGACAACAGTGTGGTGATTGCTTGGGGGGGGGGGCGGATATCATGGAGATAAATGGTAACATAAAAATATGGTAAAATAAAGAAAAAGACAAGAAAGTCCTGTAAGATGAAAGAAAATGACACTAGATGGAAACGTGAAACAAGAATCTATAGGAAGGAAAGAAGAAATAATACATATAAAGGTAAACACACAGGAGAGAGAATGTGTGTGTGTGCATATAGTCTTTGTGTGTGCATACAGTCTTAATTTCTTTTAAAAATTGTTTAAATAAAGCAGTAATCACAACACTGAGTTTACAGCATAAACAAAATTAGTATATATGACAATGGCACAAACAAAAATGAAGAAAATGAAGCTATACTGGTGCAAATTTGTTATATTTCACCAGAACTGTACCAGTATTTATTTAAATAGTGTGATAAATTAAAAGTGCATGATGTACTTCCTAAAGCACCCACTAAAAAAAGTTTAAAACATCAATAAGAATGAAAAGAGCATACTAAAAAATTATTTGTTTAATAAAAAAATGGAAGCACCAAGGAAGAAGAGATGAAAAATAAAGACATAAGATACATAAGATGTGAAAAAAGGGAAAGTGGCAAATAATAAATCTACATCAATAACAAGTATTAACTGTTAAACTGAAAAAGCAATATCCAACCAAAGTGTCTGTGACATTTTAAATTCAAAGACACAAGTTGGTAGAAATATTAGAAAAGGCCATGAAAAACCCATCAAATAAATTTAAAAAATCATGGTGTAGAAGGAAAAAACCAAATGGGAAATAAAGATTCAATCGAGAGAAGCAAAGATAAAAGTAGTTTAAAAAGAGCAACAAAATAGATACATTTTTGGTGAAAAGCCAAATGAATAATAAGAGGTATGAAAAGGGGACAGTACTGCAGTCTCACTCATGTAGATGTACATTTCTAAGCAAAGTATTGGCAGAAAAAATACATAAGCTTAGGATTTTCAGAAAAAGTATCTGATAACATTCTACATGCCTTCTTGATAAAACAAAGAAGAAAAAAAACAGCAAAAAAAGAGGAATTTCCTCCTTAACTCACAATCAGAATATACCAGTAACACTAATATTAATGATGACACATTAGAACAGAAGTATTCTCTTTTAAATCAGGATGCCATTAATGTTTTTCCATGTATTTGACATTATGCTGAAGGTTCCACTCATCAGAAAAGTGAGGGGAAAAAAAACTTAATGGATTGAAAGTAAAAAACTTATTTGTAGAAATGATTTATCTAAACATGAAATGAAAACAATATGTAAAAAACTATTAGAAATTAATTTGGGAAACTACTGGTTGAGAACACTATTAAAAATCAAGGGTGTTTTTATAAATCACCAAATAAAATAATTTTTCAGAGATGTGTCATACACTAATAAGAAAAAACATTAAGATAACCAGGAATAGCTCTAACAATATGTGTAAATGTACATGAAGGAAATTAGGAAATTCACTGAAATACATTTTCAGTATTTAAAGAAGTCCTAATAAAGCAGTATTTACAGTGCTCCCCGCCACCCCTGCACATGATCTGCTTTAGTACAACTTAAATTTTTATACGGAAGCCCTGGCTGGGTGGCTCAGCTGGTTGGAGCATTGTCCCGTACACCAAAAGGTTGTGGGTTCAATTTCGATTCCTGGCAGGGCACATATTTAAGTTGCGGGTTCAATCATTTGTCAGGGCGTGTAAGGAAGGCAACTGATTAAAGTTTCTCACATCAATGTCTCTCTCTTTCCCTTCCTCTCTGTCTAAAATCAGTAAACATATCCTTGGGTGAAGATTGAAAAAAAAGAAAAGATATTTTCATATGGAAGATCAAAAGTCCAGAAAGAGAACACTACTATGTACAGACTGGGATTTTAGGATAAGGGTGGGAAGGGGAGTCTTATCATGAAATGAAACAACTGAGAAAGCAAAGAACTGATATAGTAGCACCTCTGGTCAAGATGGTGGTGTAGGTAAATGTGGTATTTGAATCCTCCCATAACCACATCAAATTTACAATTAAACTAAAGAAAACCATCATTCAGAACCATCTTAAATCTAGTTGAATGTATTTAAAGAAGAAGCCACACTGAGAATGGTAGTGGGGTGGAGATGCAGGTCGGACTGATCCAGCACCCGTGTGTGGCAAATGAAAATCGGGAGGGATATCTCAGCTGCAATAGTCCCCTGAGGAGAGAAGGGTCTCAGCCCCACATCGCACTCCCCAGCCCAGGGTTCCAGTGCCAGCGAGAGAAGTCTCCATAACTTCCAACTATAAAAACCAGCAGGGATTATGGCTGAATGAGATAAAGGATTTCTGGAATCCCAGATGTTCCTCTTAAAGGACCCATATATGGACTTACTTGGACTCATTTCCTCTGAACTCTGGCACTGGGGCAGCAGCTTGAAAGGAATCAGGGACACAGGGGAGGAACTGAATTGTCTGGCATCAGGGCAAGAGCTGGAGGGGCAGCTTTCTGCCAGACAGAAGTCCTGGCAGAAGCCATTGTTCCTTTTCTGAGATCCCCCACTACACAGAACTGGCAGACAGTCACATCTGAGTCTCCATCATCCTGGCTCAAACTGTTGGCCCACCCTATATTAGGGAATCGTATTAGGCTAATACCATGCCCCACCCAACCTGTGAGCCCACCCAAGCTGTTTCCAGCGGCTTATCCATCAAATGACCTGTCTTAGCTCATACTTCAGACTTTCCTAAAATCCCTCAAACACACAGCATCTGGTCTCAGCCTGTCCCATACCTCTGGCTATGTGACCTGAAGTCCAGCACTAGCAACAGTTGGCCTTGGCCTTATTTGCAGCTTCACCTCACCTGGGCACCTCTAAGCCCAGCACAAGTAGCAGCCATCTGCTGATCACTTTGTAGCTCATGCTGGGTGGCCCCAGGTCAGAACACAGGGAGTGGCTGCCCTTGGCTTGCATCTCCCAGGAGGCCCCAGAGCCAGCACACTTGATGGAGAGCTTCAGACCATGTCTAAATACCACATTGCAAACACCTGCACAAGCGACACACTCAAGGGCTGGACTCTGGGCATCAGAGCCCCTGCACAGCTAATCCTCCGTGGTGGTCAGTGATTGCAGCCAGTCCTCACAGCCTATAGGCCTGGGGCGGTAAATCCCTCCTACTGAAGTGCCAAAAGCAATTAAGACTCAACTATAAGAGGAGGGTGTTCACTGCCCACATGGGGACAAGGGAGGCACATGTGTAGTGCCCAGCTTAGGTGATTGGGAAGGCTGTGCCACTGGACCGTATAGAACACCTACTACAAAAGGCCACTCCACCAAGCCTGGAAGATGTAGCAGCTCTACCTAATACATAGAAACAAACATCGGGAGGCTGCCAAGATGAGACAGAGAAACATGTCCCAAATGAAAGAACAGAACAAAACTCTAGAAAAAGAACTAAACAAAAGGGAGACAATCAATCTACTAGATGAAGAGTTACAAACACTGGATATAAGGATGCTCATTGAACTTAGTGAGAATTTACAACAACGACAACAACAACAAAACACACACAAAACCACAGTGATAAATGAAGGATACACAAAATGAATTGAAGAATAATTTACAAAGCATCAACAGTAGAGAAGATGAAGCCAAGAATGAAATCAGCAATTTGGAATACAAGGAAACAAAAACCATCCAATCAAAACAGCAAAAAGGGAAAAAAAGGAATAAAAAAAAGTGAGGATAGTGTAAGACAAAGGTCCCCAACCTTTCTGGCACCAGGGCTGCATTTTGTGGAAGACAAGAGGCAGAACTCAGGCAGTAATGTGAGTGAAGCTTCATTTGCTCACCCTCTGCTCACCTTCTGCTCTGTAGCCCAGGGCTTGGGGACGCTGGTATAAGAAGCCTCTGGGACAACTTTAAGCATACTAACGTTCATATCATGTAGGTGCCAGAAGAAGAGACAGTAAGACACTGAAAACCACTGTGAAAAAACAATGTCAGAAAACTTCCCTCACCTGTTTAAGAAAATAGACATACACGTCAAGAAAGCTTAGAGAGTCCCAAACAAAACGAGCCCAAAGAGGCCTACACCAAGACACATCATAATTAAAATGCAAATGCTTAAAGACAAAGAACCTTAAAAGCAGCAAGAGAAAAGCAGTTGCCTAAAAATGAGCTCCCATAAAACTGTCAGCTGATTTCTCAAGAGAAATTTTACAGGCCAGAAGGGACAAGAAGTATTCAAAGTGATGAAAAGCAAGGACCTACAACCAAGATTACTCTACCCAGCAAAGCTATCATTCAGAATTAAAGGACAGATAAAGAACTTCCCAAACAAGAAAAAGCTAAAGGGGTTCATCACCACCAAACCAGTATTATATGAAATGTTAAAGAGTCTTCTTTAAGAAGAAAATGAAAATAAAAGATCAAAAATATGAACAACAAAATGGCAATAAATACTTGCCTATCAACAAGCAAATCTAAAAAGATAAAATAAATAAACAAGCAGAATCAAAAAATGGTCTCACAATAAATCCCTATGTAGGTATCACATTATCTTATTCAAAATAGCTTTATAATAAACTTTTTTATTTTTTATTAAAAAAAAAAAAGAACTGATACAGTGACAAATTTGCCAAGCAAACTGAAAGCCCAGGAGAAAAGCCAAGCATATATGGATAGTTCATATATGACACAGCATTACAATTCACTGTAGGGAAAGGATGCCGCTACTCCCAAAATGGCAATAGCAAACTGGTTATATAATATTATGTTAGGGAGAGGGCAGGACAAAAAGGGAAGGAATTAGTTTACTTTCTCACACCAGAAAGAGAAATTAATTCCTGATGATCAAGTACATAAATGTAAAAGGCAACTCTTCAATTCTTCTAGGAAAAAAATATGAGAACATATGATTCAAGGATAGAGGAAGATTTCTTAATTATGACAAAAAGCATAAATATTAAAAAAGTTAGATCCAACTATATTAAGGTCTTTTGTTTATCAAAAGATATAATAAAAAAGTAAAAAGAGAATACATAAATTGGAAAATACTTGTAACACATAGAATCAGTATTCAAATTATAAACAGACGTTCTACAAATCAGTAATATACACTGTAGGACAGAAAATTGGATAAAACACAGAAGTTGGCACATCTCTACCAAAATCATAGTACGTGCCTGAAAAGGTGCTCAGTAACATTAGAAATCAGGGAAATGCAAACTCAAATCAAAATGAGCTAGTCCTTTATCATTAGTCTGACTATAACAAGCAATAGCCAGAATGTGGATGACCAGGCACATTGCTCTTATACTACGGAAGTGCAAACTGAATGTCGTTCTGCAAAACATTTTGGCGCTATCACGTCAAGTTTAACACATTCACACATCCTTATGACCCAACAAATTCTCCCTTAGGTACACATTTATGGAAACTTTTACATATATGTAACCTTGATATGCCTACGATCCCCAATTTATCTCCAGCCAAAACCTCTTCATTATCTTGACAATAATACCACCATTCTAACTGCTCTGGCTAAGACCTCCATACCATTGTTGAATCCTCTTTCACAATGCATACCCAATTTTTCAAGAAATTCTAGTGCTTCTAATTTCAAAATATACCCGGGGGCAAGGGGGAAACACCTCAGATTCAGAGCAATTCTCAATATCTAATTAACCACCAAGGTCCAAATCATCTTGTCATCATTGTCATCATCATCTCTTTGCTAGATTACTCTAGTAGCTAACTAGTCTGCTTACCACATTATATCCTCAGTACAGCAACCAGTCACTTTTAAAAATTACGTCTGATCACATAATTCCTCCGTTCAGAACCACCCAATGGCTCCCCATTTCACTAGGTGTAAAAGCCAAATTCCTCACAGTAGCCAACAAAGTCACTAATCTGGCTCTACATTTCCCCATACTTTCCTGTCACCTCTTCTATAATTTTCCCTCATTGCTCACTTAATTTCAGCATGTTAGCTGCTTTGCTTTTCCTCAAAAACATGCTAAGCACATGCTCCTACTTCAGAGCTTTTCCACGGGCTGTTTCCCCACTCTAGGGTACTTTCCCCCCAAAGATAGCTAGTCTCTTCACATCCTTCAAGTCTTTGCTAAAGGCCATCTCAATGAAGCCTACCCTGTTCACTACATATGAAATTGCAACCCAAACCAACAGAAAAATGAACAAGAAACATGAACAAATAATTGATTAAAAAGAAAGATATTCAACCTCATTCATTACGAGAGCAGCAAATTAAAACTACAGTGAAATAATTTCTCAACTATCAGACTGAAAAAAATTATTTATAATTACAAAAATCTTGAAAGTTTGAAGAGTAACATTTATTTACAAAAACCTCAAAGCCCCCCCCCCCCCGCCAAATACTTATTAATTAATTACACAGGGAAAAATTGTAGCTATAACAGAAGAAACCTGGCAGGCATTTTAATCAAGTAATGCAAGTTAACCAGGAATGGGAAAATCAATAATACGAATTCTGATAAGAGGTACTGAAAAGAACATAACATCATTTCTGTAGTATTCCTGTCAAAAGTACATACACTGAATGTAATCATGAGCAATCCTAACTCATTTTTAGTGAAATTCTATAAAAATATCTGGTTTGTACTGTTCAAAAAATGTAAATGTCATTAAAAGCAAAGAATGTCTGAGGAGCGGTTCCAAATTTATGGAGATTAAAGAGTCATTATAATAGAATGAAATGCATAATCTTGGGGTTTTTTTGTTTTTTTTTTGCTAAAGATGGTGTCATTGGGACAACTGGTAACATCTGAATAAGCTGTATAGATTACATAATATTATATATCAATTGTCTGATTTCGGTAACTGTTCACTGTGCTTATTTTAAAAATACATTTATTTACAGGTAAAAACATACTAAAAGTATACAGAAGTAAAGAGGCTTCATGTCTGCCATTACTCTCAAGCATTTCAGAAAGAACATAAATGAAAGCCAAGTGTGGTACAATTTAATATTTAGGGAATCTGGGTGAAGGATATATGTATGAACTCCTATTTTTTGATTGTCTGAAATTATGTCAAAATAAATAAAATGTATACATTCTTATAAACTCCTATATATATATAAAATTACAAATTCTACTCCAGGTAGTCCTGAATCTCCTTTACCACTTGTTAGCTCTAGTAACCTATCATCTGCTAACATATAATAATTTACTTTATTATATTCATTGCTTGTGTTTCCTCCTGCAATGTAAGCTCTGGGTGGACAATAATTTTGTGTGTATATGTGTGACAGTGTTTTGTGTACTGATGGATCTCTAATACCAAAAACAAATTCCAATACATAGTAGGCAATCAATAAACATTGGTTGAAGACTGACTGACTGAATGATTATATTGGGAGATATGTGAAAATACTTTGATAAAATGCATGGTTTGAAAACAAACGACATAACAAAACCAAGTTTCCCTTATAAAGATTTAAAAAAATATATTCAATGTTTTAAAAACCTTGATTCTCTGACTGTACTGTTACAAGCTATTTAAAGGTAAAATGTGAAAAGTAGATTATTTTGAAATGAAGAGTTTTATGAGGACACAAAAAATAACATCAAATATTATTCCTAAGTATCAAAATGTATAACAGGTAATACAAAATTCTACAGTATGAGAAATACTTTTCAAATGATGTATAAAAAAGGAGTATTAATGACAGGATGTTTATGTAGGTATAAAATAGAATATATTTCTGGAAAATAAATCACTGCCTTTTCCTATAGCATTATTGGGAAATTTAATTATTATAAAGTCCATAGCAAATAAGATAATATGCCAACAGTAAAGCTGTATCAATCCGTTACAGAAATTCACTAGCAAGTACTTTAAACAACATATTAACGGATAATTTTTCGTTACCTCTTCATCAGTAGGGTCTACTGTGGTTTCATCATACACTCGCTGGTTGTCAATGGTCTTGGGTATAGGTTTTGGTGGAGCCTAAATAAAAGAAAAAAGATTAAGTTGTAGTAAGAAACATTTTACATAAATAATTTCGCATTACAGTGGGAAGAATAACAGAAATTTGTAAAAAATCCAAAAACTCAATCTGTTCCTCATTTCAACACACTGCTAAATCAATCCTAACAACTCTGAGTAAAAAAAACTTTCTAACTCTGAGCAGAAACACACACATACTAAAAAAATTGCCAACATTGGATCAAATGACTTAAAGCCAGACAGAAGTCACAGAGAAAAAAGTCCATTAAGAATAGAGATATCAAACAAAACAGAAAAAGTTACAAAAGTATATATACATGTAGTTTTGTCCCAAGACTTCCAAAAAACTGTTCAGAAATACATAACAAAAGCTTCAAATCTGTTTCCATCTGCTGAACTAGTAATTCTAGTTTGGGGGATTTAAAGAGGGGAGCAATTTACATAAAGAAAGATGTAAGATCACTATTCTTAATGGAAATGAACAGCAAATAGGGCAAATGTCCAACAGCAGGATAATGACTATAGTACTTCAACATAATGGAATATTGTTGCAATCATGCATACTCAGCTTAGACCAAAAATTGGGTAAATGAAATGGTAAGGAGTAGGCAACAGAATCGTAAGCATATACTAACTGAAACAGATTTAAAATGTATGCACACTAGCAGAGATATGAATTGATGGTATTTAGTATTTTATTTTTTATTACTCTATGAAATGAATATTAAGTTTTAAATAGTTTTTTGAAAGAGGTAGTTCTAGGAAGTCATCCTTCAATACAAAAAACCAGAATGGTAGTATTTTCAAATGGTGATCAGCATATTAAGTTACTATAACTGACTGATTACTGAGAGCTAAAAAGAGACTAACATTGCTTAATAGAATTTTGCAGGTCAAAATAGTGTAATGTTGGCAATTTCATGTCATTTAACATAATACTATTAAGAGAATGCGTGAAAAAGCAGTGTTTTATTTCTATACCATCTATAATTTTCCCTTCTTCAAACATTTACCTTTACTTGGTACCTCATCATAAGAAATGGGAGGGGGGAAGAGTTGTATGTTCTTTTTCTTTTTTTTAAAGATTGTATTTACTTAATTTTTAGAGAGGGGAAGGAGAGAGAAAGAGAAGGTGAGAAAAATCAAGGTGTGGTTGCCTCTCATGTGCCCCCTACCAGGGACCTGGCACACAACCCAGGCATGTGCCTTAACTGGAAATCAAACCAGCAACCCTTTGGTTCTCGGGCCAGGACTCAATCCACTCAGTCACACAAGCCAGGGCTAATGCATTATATCTTAAGATGGGTAGAAAGGGGTTTGTTATGTTATTACACATCTGAAATACTTCACAAATTATGCCATTCAACATAAATATCACTGAACATTCCTTAATACTAGAAAGCAGATAGCTAAAAACTTTATTTACCTTATCACCAAGAGCCTCTCTCTCTTTTTTAAGTTTTTTCTTAGCTGCCAACTTTTCCTAAAGGGTATGAAAAAAGAACAATATTGAGAAACCATTAGTTATATCATAAACACAGAAACTACAAATTACTAATGCTACAAATACTTACACTGAGTAATCTTCGTAATGTATTAAAATTAAAATGTTGACATAGATTTCCGTAAGTTATTGTAAAACAAACGAGCTGGCCCATCAATAAAATTTCTGTAACACAAAGCCTGCTTCTTAAAAAAAAAAATCTAAATTGGCCAATTTTGAATATTTAAAATTTCACTAACTTTATTTTTTATTGTAAAATCTGAAACTAAGTGAAAACACAATGTATATCTAAAAAAACTTTTGCTTTTTTTCCCCTGCATTCCTAAAGAAGGCCATAGCTATGCTGGTTGTTTCTCTGGGAAAGTACTAAAAATAAATGGGAATGGGAGATTCATTTTCACGTTGCTTCCAATAAAAGCATCACTAGCTCTCCATGTATTTCATAATCAAAATGTGCTTTTAAAGGTATTAAGAACTTGAAAGGTGAGTTAAGATTGTACTGTGAATGTGTATCTTCTGGACATTTCTGAACACAATGCTTGACACACAACAGAAAATGCTCCCTCCCCTCCTCCCCCGGTGTTATTAACTCTCAATCTATCAGGTCACAGGAAGTCCAGGTCTCAGGTCTTCTAGGACACCCTTCCCCCATACTAGCACAACAGAATGGGTAAGATGCTCCTTCAATGTACTCTTTACTTAGCAATCAGGCCGAGTAAGACTCAGTCGAGGGCTTCAAACAGCTCAGTAAGAGGCAGGCACATAAAGAGTATTATGTGTATGAACTTTTACAATGTGCAAGAATAAGCAAGTTTTACTTTTAACTGCAATTTAACCACAAATGAGCACTGTCAGCTTGGGCTTTATTTATCTCTCCCTATTTGATTACCTTCCAGACGAGTATGAGGGCAATGCTGTAAAGAGTAAATACAATTACTAGAAACATTACAGCACTAATTTCAGTTAAGAGTTGCATCAGAGAAACATCACTTTGGATTTATGTACTGCCTCCGTTAGATTCTGTGAATTAACCAACCGGAAGCGGGCGGGACCAAGGAGAGGGAGACTTGCTTCCTAGATCAGTAAGAAGTAATTTTCACTGCTGGGAGAGGAGTAGTGAAAATTGCTTCATTCTCAGCCAGAGTCCCCCTAGCAAAAAGCTGGTAAGAAAAGGAATCACGGACGCTCAAACAAAAAGCAGGACGAGGGGACCAGGACAAAACATGCCCGGCGAGCGTAATCCTTCGGATTAGTCACCACAGCTTGGAACCCCTGGCAGGGGGACCACGCAAATTCAACAACCCCATCCACGTCCCCACAACCCGCGCGCAAAAGGAGCCGCGCAAGCGCTCTACAGCCTCCGCCCCTCCGGTACCTTCCGCTGTTGCTGTTTCCACCGCGTGAACATTAAATGTCTCCGCTGTTTGTTTTTGATCTCGGAAATGCTGAAGCCTGGAGGAAAGGCAGACGCTTTGGGGGGTTGGACCTCGCTTTCTGTCGCCCCATCCTTAACAACTGCCGCCTCTTGAGGTTCCTCGGTAGCACCTTTGCGTTTCAGGGATTTCTTTCGGCTACCGCCGGTCTTCTCCATAGCGTTCGTTCCTGGGCGTCTGTACGGAAACGGAAGTAGTTTCCTACTCTGAGCCGCCTTCTTAGACTTTTACTTCCGGGGGAGGGAAGTTTTTAATGAGAACTGTAGAAAGCCGTGTGAGCTTTAGCCATTTAAGAAGTTTATGAAATTTAGGTCTGAGGATAGTTAGGTGGGATGCCCAGCTGTATGGACAGTGAAATGATGAATTCGTGGAATTCTATATTGAGCGTTTTCTTTGTGCCCAGCCCTCAAAACATTGGAACAAAATCTTTGCCATAGAAAGTTTACATTCTACTACAGAGACTTAAAATGAGCTCACAAATATGTATGTGTATATATATATACATACATATACATATATATGTATGTATTACTTTATATGTATGTATAAGTAGAACAGGGTAAAAGAAGATGACAGAGTAGAATGGCATGTTGCAGCTTTTTAAAAGGAAATCATATGTGCCCTGGCTGGGTAACCTGGTTGGAGCCTCCTCCAGATGCATCAGAGTTGCTGTTCTATCCATGGTCAAGGCACATGCAAGAGTCAATCAATGAGTGCACAGATGGGTGGGACAATAAATCTGCATCTTTCTCTCCCCATCCTCTCTAAAATCAATACGTAAAAAATAAACAGGAAATCATATAGGCTTTGTTGAAAAAGTTACATTGAGCAGAAATTTGAAGGAATTGATGGGGGTGGAACTGCTAATCTGAGAAAAGCTCTGCAGGCAAAGGAAACTCACAGCTCCAAGGTCAGTAGCAAGCCTGGCGTGTTTGGGAAATACCATGGAGGTTGGGAGTCAAATGAGAAAGGAGAGTAAGGGGAGGAAGGTGTTAGGAATGACAAATTGTGTAGGGTTTTGTAAGGACTTTGGTTTTTATTTTATGTGAGATGCATATCTCTTGGAGGATTTGAAAAAAAATGGTAACATGACCTGGCCTGTATTTTAAAGGTAGCACTCAGACTCTTCTTTTGAGAATAGACTCCAGGGGAGAGAAAGTGAAAGGAGGGGAGAAATGATAATGTCTTGAACCAGTGTGGTTCTAATGGAGGTGGTAAGAAGTGATCAGATTCTTTTGAAAGTATTTGATGATTAGAATGAAGGACATGAGAAAGAGAAGAGTCCAGGACAACTCCAAGACTTTTGAACTGAGCAACTGGAAGAATGGAGTTAAATCAGTTGAGATGGGAGAGACTTCGGGTGGAGCAAATTTGAACGGTAATATCAAGATTTCAGTTCTCCAAATGTTCAGGTTGAGACACTAGTCATGAATGTTGTTTTCAAGTAGTTAATTGGGATGTATGATTCTGCAGCAGGAGAGACATAGGCTAGAGATAAAAAATTGGGAGTTATCAGCATATAGGGAGTATTTCAAACCATTATAGTGAGTGTAGCTAGAGAACTGAAAAAGAAAAGAGTATGAAGGAATGACCCCTGTGAAAGCCCCACATGAAGAGCTGAAGAGAAAAGGAGGATCCAGTACAGAAGAACGAGAAGGGAAAATCAAGGTAGTAGAGTACCATGGAAGCCAAGTGAACAAAGTGATTCCCAGTGGTTAACTTTTGTTTTATTCTTCATTTCAATGTTATGAAAATTCCCTTCAAACAGAGAAAAAAAGACTTCTTTTTGGTTGCCTATTAGTAGTTAATTTTCCAGAAATTTCCTGAATTTCAAATTATATGTTTCAATATCAATACTGTTTTGATAATTTAACATTTTGATGTCCATACTGCATTTCTCACTCATCCTTGTTCTTTTTTTTTTAAGATTTTATTTATTTTTAGAGAGAGGGGAAGGGAGGGAGGAAGAGAGGGAAAGAAATATCAATGCGTGGTTGCCTGTCATGCACCCCCCACTAGGGACCTGGCCCGCAACCCATGCATGTACCCTGACTAGGAATCAAACCAGTGACCCTTTGGTTTTCAGGCCGGCACTCAATCCACTGAACCATGCCAGCCAGGGCTTGAGTTCTCTTAGACAGGATATGAAAAACATCAATACTATGTCTTCCCGAATAAGCCCTATCAAAGCCTGCCTTGAAGCCATAAATCCAAAATTGTGATTAAGAAACAACCCATTATGTTTAGATCCCAAAGAGCTGCTGCTTCTACTGGACCTGGGGTCATGCTGAGCCAGATTCTGCTTGTTTGAAAGATTTTAGGAAAGTCTGCAGCATCAGTCAAGACAGGCCATTCATATGGTTAAGCCCTTGAAAACAGTTGGGTGGGCTGGGGTCTCAGAGAATCACCAGGCAGGGTGAACCATGTGAGCCAAGTTGATAGAGACTCAGATATGGTGCCACCTTTCTGGAAGATGGGCTTTGGAAAGGAACAATGGCCTCTGTCAGCACTTTCGTCTGGCAGACAGTTGTGCCTACCCCCTGCTCTCACCCTGATGCTGGACAATTCAGGCCCTCCTCGTGTGTCCTTGGTGCTTTTCAAGCTTCTGTCCCAGTGCTGGAGTACAAAGGGAGCGAGTCCAAGTAAGTCAGTGCTTGGGCCCTTTAAGAGGAACATCTGGGACTCCAGAAGCCCTTCATCTTACTGATCCAAAATCCCTGTTGGTTTTTACAGCCAGAAGTTATGGGGACTTCTCTTTCTGGCACTAGACTCCTGTGAAAGGTCTGGAGTGGGACCAGGACTCCTCACTTCTCAGGATAGGCAAGATATGTCTCCCAATTTTTTTCTACCACTTGTGAGTGTGAGACCAGCCCATTCTGAGTCTCTGCCCTCCTACCAGCTTTGATGTGGCTTCTTTAAATCCCTAGTTGTAAAACTTCCATTCAGCTAGATTTCAGGCAGTTGTGAATGATTTTTTTTTGTAGTTTAGTTATAGTTTTGATGCCTGAAAGGATTTCTATGATCAGAATAAAATCCTTATTCTGAACTCACAAAAGCATTGATCAATTCAGCAAACGTGCATTTAATGCTATCAATAAATTACTATGGTGAGTGAATACGGCAAACAGTGGGCTCTATGTTCATATCTGTGTTCAGATCTTGACTCAGTCCCTTAGATGATATAAAATCTCAATTAGATCACATTATCTCTGAGCTTCAATTTCTTCATCTGTAAACTGAGGCTACTTATACTGCCACATAGGTTCTTGAGATTACATATATTGAATAAACACACATACTCAGTAACTGCAAACTAGCTATTTTTATTAATTCTAGGTATAAGAAACTATGCTAAACACTGTGGAGAAAATAAAGACATCATGTTTGCTCTCAAGAAGCTTACAGTTTAGAAGATGAAACACAATTCTAGAGTAAGTATTGGATAGTGGTCAATAAAGAGTGCTCCTGAACTTGAGATCCATTTCATCCATCTACTGTTTCTCACTAAGCATTCATTGTCCATTATTTCAGGGCTCATTCACAATAGAGTATATATTATTTTTAAGTAAAACACTTATTTTTAATATTTAATAAATTTTTTTGCTTACTTGTTTTAGTTTTGACATTTCAGAGTCCCTGTAATACAATGCTGGGACACCAGATGAGTTCAATGAACCAAACAAATATATGACCAAGATTCTGTTCAGAAAATTTGATTTATTGTTTTACAGTATGATTTAAGCTCTTTACATCAGAGAAATCATTCCTAAGGTGCAAAATATTAATCCACTGCATAGGAATAAGGGATACCAGTTTTGGGGTTAGAAGTTTTTTTATTTACAGTGTGATATAAATACTTGACAAACATAGAGCAAATTAATGCTTCCTGAACTTGAATTATGGTGTACATTTAGAACAGGTAAGAACTGTTAAGGAAAAAACAAAATGGAGGCCACAGTTCGAATATACACTTAGACCAAGCCTCATAGTCATGTACCAAAACAGGCAAAACTGTCCTGATTTCCCTAAATGCTGACTCTGACCTGAAACAAAACTTAAGCTTTCTTTATATTAATGTGACCTTATCACTTCCTAGCTAATCAGCTATATACACACAATTAAGCTTATACAGTGCTACTACCTTTAAAAGATTTTAAGTTTCTAGTAACCAATCACAATAACAAAAATTTTGTATTCCCTCATTAGTGCTTTATAGACTGATCTATAGCTGCTAAAAGTGAAGCTTCTGGCCTCCTTCAGCTTTAAGTCTCCCTATTGTGAGTATTTTGTTTCTTGCTCAATAAAAGATTCATATCAAATAAGGCTCTGAATTTTCTTTTTTTTTTAAAGATTTTTAAAATTTACTTTTAGAGGGAAGGGAAAGGGCACAGGAGGGGGGAAGAGAGGGAGAGAAATAGCAATGTGCCAGAGATATATCAATCCATTGCCTCTCACAGGTCCCCATCCGGGCCCACAGTCCCATCATGTGCCCTGACTGGAAATCAAACCAGTGACCCTTCAGCTTGCAGGCCAGCACTCAAGCCACAGAGCCACACCAGTCAAGGCTGAATTTTCTTTTGACAGAACTTTATATAACTAGCCTCTCAGCTGTGGATATTTCATTGGTATCAAAGAGATATTTTGGGCATTTAAACTACTATCTCAAGCAATTTTGGAAGTTCTCTTTTCTTGTTTATTCTATACCTTAAGTTATCTTAGTGACTGATGAGGTTTTGTTCCCAGACTTTACCGACTCAGGAGATTGGTTGCAAAATTGTCACAGGGATTTGTAATGCCAATAGAACTTGCACAATGTCAACTCTCCTTCAAAAGATCTTGAAGTCAATAAGAATACAATTAATACAAGTTTGTGAAGATATATTAGAGCCACACACCTTCCTACCAAAAACTGAATTAGAGTGACTGAAATATGAAGACTTTTCAAATATCAAAAACCTGGAGGGTAGTTATGTGGTGAATACCATCATCTCTATATAATTCACACTATGAAGTAAACATAGTGCATGTGATGGCCTTCCCAGAAACCAGACATGTAAGGAAAGCAGAAATTCTTTTCTCAAGAAATAGGTCTTCATATTGTGTCTTTGAAATAATTTTTAATAATTTCCTCAAGGCATTTAACTTTTTTCAACACTCTAATCTTGGCCATGATGGTATAGGATG